TGGACACAGTATTGCCATGGTGATAAGGTAATATGATATAATTCCAGACAAATTTTATAATCGTTTTTTCTATTTCTGAGAAGAATGTCCCAGACAATTGGATCAGAATCACATTGAATATATAAGTTAATTTGAGTAGAACTGACATTTTGATTTTATTGTTTCTTCCAATCCAAGAACACAGGATGTCCTTCTATTTTATTTATTTATTTTTTTACCATACTCAATTTCTTTTTTCAGTTTTTCATAGATTTTTTTTGTAGACGTGTTTCACCTTTTTGGGTAGGTTTATTCCTAGGTATCTTATTTATTTTGTGACTATTGTAAATGGGATTGCTTTCTTCAATTCTGTAGCATACAATTATTATGGTAAAAGTAATTCATGGTGTTATTATTGCCAGAGAGCATGTGCATTTGCTGAGGGGGGTGGGGGCGGGGAGAGAACTTCTCAATGGGGTATGGTCATGCTACAATCCCTTCTCCTCCATTTTTCCATCCCTTCAGGATTTGGGGCACATATAAACATATGTCCAGCATGTCTTTCAAGCCACTGAGACCAGGATTCAACTGATGGCTCCCTCAATCACCAGGCTACAGGACTGGCCCCACTGTGTTTTTATACTCAGTATAGTAGGTATTTGCACTACTTCATTGTCCCATTTCTGCATGAAACTTTAAAAGCAAAACTCTGTCACATACAACTAACCCCTCACCTCTCTTCTCTTTGAGCTGTGCTTTTGATAAGCCCTCCTTACTAATCTTTACTTTTTCTTCACACATGTGCTTGGATCATCTTTGCCCTGGAGTGAAATCTTCCAGTGGTATCCCCCAGTGACTGTGTCCCTTGGCTGAATTCCTAGAGCATAGCTGCCATTTGGCCCATGGGTGTCATTTAGCCCCAGCCTTGGTTTTTAGGCTCTGAGTGCAAGGTCTACCTCTGTGATTAGAGTTTCTTTGAGGACAGGGGCTGTGATTTATACCTCTTTGTATCCTTAGCTCAGGCAGTATAGTTTCATTAATGGTGACTTTCAGGGATTTCACTGGGTTAAATAGTGCCCAAATTCACATCTACCTATCACCTGAGAATTAGATTTTATCTAGAAATAAGGTCTTTGCAGATTAGTCAAGTTAAGATGAGGTCATACTAGATTAGGGTGGGCCCTAAATACAGTAACTGGTATTTTTAAAGAGGAGGGAAATATGGACACAAAGGAGACACAGGAAAGGACGGCCATGTAACAGCAGAGGCAGAGACTGGATTGGTGTGGTTGTGGTTGTAAGTCTAGGAATGCTGAGAGTTGCTGGAACCCCCAGAGGAGAGGAAGAAGTGGAGGGTTCTTCATTAGAGCCTTCAGGGGTACCGAAGCCCTGTAAGCACCTTGCCTTCAGGTTTCTAATCTCCAGAACTGTAAGGGAATAAATTCTAATTATTTTAAGTTGCCTGGTTTGTGGTAATTTGTTATGGCAGTCCTAGGAATTCTGGGCACAGTGAGTCCTTCTAGGAGCCACTGTCCAGCTGTGGGTAACCCACTTTCAGAAGACCTGAGGGGGTAGCTGGAGTCAGGTTTTAAGGGAAAGAAGTGAGTAATTTGAAAGAAGGGAATAGAGAGGAGAGAGAACAAACTGGATATGGTCTGAGTAGAAAATAATCCCAACGTTCACAATTTATGTTGGGGGTTGGGCCAGCAGGTGACATGGTGGTTAAGGTGGCTGGACTTCTAGATGGCCAACCATGGTTCGAGTCTCAGACCTGGAAACCTGCTCTCTCATTTTCTCTCTTTCTCTGGTGAGAACTTATAGCAAATTAAAATAATAACAATAAATATAATTAAAATACATGACTCTTTAAACAAACAAACAAAAAACTTATATTGGGGGTATTTTTAAAGTCCCCTCACAGAAATGGTTTGCTTTAATATGAAACGGTTGATCTGAGAACTGGAGTTAGGGGGAAAAGTGAGTGAATGAATATCCTCTTTGAGTTAACGTATTCAGAATAATAAAACTGACCTGTGGTAGGAAGTGCACAAGTGTAGATTTCCTAGCTTGAGATAACAAGAAGTTCTCGTGTGAGTGGGCCTAATGATGGCTGGTGGTCCTTTTGAATTCCAGTCCTGGAGGCCTTCTTTTCTTCAGTAGTTAAGAGCAGAGACACTAAACAGAACGCCTAGGTCTGAGTTCTGGCCCTGACACCTACTGCAAGTTGTTTTTTCTTCCTTGCCTCCCTCTCTTCATTAGTAAAGTAAGAAATAAAATAGCACCTCCCTCATAAATTATGATGACTGAAAGAGTTAATCTACATATATTATTTAGAACAGTGCCCAAGATAGATAATAGAAGACCTAATTGTTTGATCATCCTTATCCTTGGTAGATGAGGGAGACCTAGGAAGGATAAATTAAATGAACTTTGCTTTTCTAGCAAAAAGGAGGTCCCACTGTGGAGGAAATGAGGGCAAAGCTGGCATTTGCTGAAAATAAATCTGTAAATGGATTTTCTTGTGTGAGGACTAGTAGGTGGCATGGTAGTTGGGGATGCTGGACTCCCACATGGCTAATCATAGTTCGAGTCCCAGACCTGAGGGCTTGAAACTCATGCCAGTCACATGTACGTGTGTGTACAAAATCGAGGAGAAGGGATTGCAGCATGGCCATCCCCCAGTGGGTGATTTCTCTCTCTCTCTCTCTCTCTCTCTCCCTCTCCCTCTCCCTCTCCCTCTCCCTCTCTCTCTCCCTAAGGAGATCACTTAATGGCAAAAACTTTTTAAAAAATATATTGGCCATGGAGCCAGTAGGTTGCATGGTGGTTAAAGTGCTGCCTGGACTCTCACATGGCTGACTGAGTTCTACCTGAATCTGGCAGCTTGAAAATCACACCGGGCACACGTGTACACACCCGAAGTCCCAGGAGGAGAATGGAGAAGCAGGGATTGTGGTGTGCCCAGCCCTCCTGGGATGTAATTGCTCACTTTCCCTCTCTCTCTCTGTTTCTCTCTGTGAATGCGCTCATGCTCTATGGCAAAATAAATAAATAAATAAATAAAAACAAAACAAATGTGTTCAGGACCAGCCAGTGAGTGGCTCAGTGGTCAAGGCAGTTGGGTCCCATATTGCAGACTGCAAGGTTGGAGTCCCAGATCTGCGGCTTGAAAAACACAAGGTTGGGTATATCTGTGTGTCTAAAATTCTGAAAGGAGAATAGAGGAGAGAGGTTTATGGCCACTCTGCTGGGGGCACTTTCTCACTTTCCCTCTCTCGGGCTCTCTCTTGCCACCACAAATGCCCCATAGCAAATTAAAAATAAAACAAAACAACCAATAATTTGTTCACTGAGCACAGAGAGGTTTTTTTTAAAAAAATTTTTTTTCACCCTACCCCCAAGGTTTTTGCCTTAGGGCAAAAAGTCTCGCTGGAGAGAGACAGGGAACCATGTTCCCAGCATGAGTTTCAAGCCACCAGATCCAGTACTCAAACCGCGGTTGACCATTTGGGAGTCCAGTTGCACACCACTATGCCATCTGCTGACCCCTATTTGATGTTAAACAGCAGGATAGACTCAAAGTCTCCGCCATCGCTGGCACACTTACCGCTACTGGAAGCAAGGATCCCTTGCGACCCTCTCTCTTTAGGATTCACGGGTCCTACCCAGTGCTACTCAACTCCCCATCCAACTGGCAAGGCACACTGCAGACCTCAGTCAACCCGACCGACGACGGGAGTAAGGAGCAAACCACCGGGGTGGCCTTGCCAAGGGCCACTCCTTGTCCTCTAAGGCAGTCCCTAGGAGCTCCTGGCCCCGAAAGGACTGGGAGCTCCTGGAAGAGCAGAAATAGCACGCACCTTTTAGCATTCACTTTACAAAGGAGCATATTCACAGGAACCCGCACGAGAGCCCAGTCGTAGATCCTGCCCCATTGCTCAGGTAGGTGTGTGCTTTCATTCACAGAGCCAGTGAGCCTGGCTGGGGTCGGATAACCAGCCCGCACCGCCCACCACCCTCACCCGTGCTGGCGGGTAAAGAGGGAGCGCATTTGGCATGTGTGCACTGACTGAAAAGTAACTTTGCACCCTGACTACTGGGCAAAAAATCCGCGCCTTCCCACGCTGCGGATAGTAACCCTGTAGGCTGCGCAGAACACTCGTCTGACCCGGGCGAGCGAGCGCCTTCCGACTTGGCCAGGCGATTCCGGCAAGGCTGGAGCCCCGCAGAGCCCAGCGTTCGGGCAGAAGCCAGGAGTCGCAGCCGAGGAGAGTATGCTTTGTCGCCCTCCGAGCGACTTTGGGCAAGTCATTTTGCTTCCTAATTTTTCTGTTTAATCCGGGTTGGGAACTGAACCGCCGACCGGAGCGCAGCGCGTCTTGAACTTCGTCCAAGCGCGACCTGGGGACCCCGGCGAGCAGGGCCGGGAGCTCCCTCTGCTGGAGCGCGGCGGCGGCGCT